TGTTAAAAAAATTGTTGCATTTGTTTAAACAAATTTAAAAAAAAATATTTTTTCGAAAAAACTTTTTAAGGCCAGGTCCAAGTGAGGCAGCGCCATCTACATTGATACTAAAATTTTGGAAAATTTTCAATACAGCCTGTTCTTGAAAATAAGATGGTAAAATGCTTTTTCCTTTATGGATAATTGATTATTGGCAAAATATACACCAACTAAAACTTTTTTTGAGTTAAAATAATAAAAAAAATTTCATGTCAATAAATTAAATATGAGCACTTTTTTCACAAAAACTGTAACAGTACTTTCACAGAAATTACAATCAAAAATGCAATTTCCATTTGGAAAATTAATAAACGCTAAAAAATACACGACCTAAGATTTACCAATCACGAAAATAACAAAAAAATTTTTATTAAATATTTAACATATTGATACTGCTTTACTGATTGTGACAGCCCTTTGGTAGATTATGTATTTCAGGTGGTTAGCAACAGCGCCAATCTCCTCCTTTCGGCAAAACTGCGAAACGTCTGGTGACATATATAACCTGCTAAACGGCTGTCATAATGAGTAAAATATGTTATGTTAAAATACTTTTTTTTGTTATTTTCGTGATTGGTAAATCTTAGGTCGTGGATTTTTTAGCGTTTATTAATTTTCCAAATGGAAATTGCATTTTTGATTGTAATTTCTAAGAAAGTACTGTTACAGTTTTTGTGAAAAAAGTGCTCATATTTAATTTATTGACATGAAATTTTTTTTATTATTTTAACTCAAAAAAAGTTTTCAAGAAAAGGCTGTTGAAAATTTTCCAAAATTTTAGTTTCAATGTAGATGGCGCTGCCTCACTTGGACCTGGCCTTAATGAAAATATAAGTAATTTTAAAGCAAAAATCACTCTTGGTATTTTTACTTAAAATAAAAAATTAAAAACTTACAAATTTTTCAAAATTAACGAAAAATTCGACTTTAATCCTCGAATATGATCTCCAGGTATACCCGTCATCGGCGACCTTGTTGTCCAAGTGTTAAGGATATTTTCTCAAACCTCAAATATAAATGCCAAAACTGTTAACAAAAAATTCGAACTAAATTGTTGGCGATGATCCTTAAGTATACCCATCATCGGCAACCTGGTTCTGTATGTAAAAAATAACCATGGATTATTGTACGCTTGTCAGTTCTGAAGGTGCCTAAAAAATTTCAGCCCTCTAGAACATCAGCAAGTCGTTTAAATTAAAATTTCATATTTTGACCATAAAAATCGTGTTCAGCATAAAAAATACATAAGGAACACTTATGTAGGTCCTTTGAAATATAAAATGTTTCAAGAAATCTATTTTAATTAGTAGTAAAACTTTAAACGCGTTTTTCTCGAAAAGTTGATTTTGGTCGACAGCACCGTTTTCTCAGACCCGGTCACATATCTCAAATTCTTTTTCATCTTTCTGTTTAAAAGTTATAAGTCTTTAAAAATTCTTTGTTTAAATTTTTCAAAAAAATTCAACCCCTTCCCTTTCCTACAGCTTTTGCAAAAAACTTAACAATACTTCGTGGTAAAAGGACTCACCTCTAGAGCTAAACTATGTGCAAGTTACAGCCTGATCCGATCAACTTTTTTTTCACTACAGGAATTTTACCCCATATGTATATTAATAAAAGTTATTTTTTGTGTTTATATCGTACCCTGTGAAATTTTATAATTTACATATTTCTGTCTTTTTTACACAAAAGAATGTCAAAAATATGTATAAAAGATGTATGTATACATACATTTATTTACCTTCTGCAAAAAAATTTATAAAAAATAATTAATTTTAAAAAGTAAGTATAATTACCCAGAGAATTTTGGTTTTTTAGTTTTTCGCACTTTTCCCTGCTTGAGTAGAATAGCCTCAGTTGACGATAGTTAAAAATTGTTTTCTTTATAAAAATAATAAAATATAACTGTTTCTTTTTTTAAGTACAAATTAATCAGTCTAAGCAAGCATATAATAAAAATCTCATCGACTTCACATACGTCCTTTTCTAGCATTCTTCTTACTAATAATGAATTATTGTTTAAACGAATAATTATAAAGTTAATTTTTCACAATTTTTCTTTTAATATTGTAAGAAATTGACGTTATCCCTACAATATTGTATAAATGACTTTTCAAGATTAAATGGTTTAAAAAAAATCATTCGTTCAAATTTCAATTGCCAATATTTTACAAGATAAATTTCTTTCTTAAAACTATTTAGCATAGTTATTTAACACCTCAATAACTACAAAATGAATACACTTTTAGAAAAAAAACATTTTAAATTACAAACTATAAAAATCAGTAATAGAAGCAGGCACTATGAAAAACAGTTGCTTTGAAAACAACTACTATGGTAAAGATTGTTATGGTAGTGTTTGTCATGATAACAGTTGTCATGGTAACGGTTGTCATGGTAAAAGTTGTCATGATAACGGTTTTCATGATAACGGTTGTCATGATAACGGTTTTCATAGTAACAGTTGTCATGATAATGGTTGTCATGATAACAGTTGTAATGATAACAGTTGTAATGATAACAGTTGTAATGATAACAGTTGTAATGATAACAGTTGTAATGATAACAGTTGTAATGATAACAGTTGTAATGATAACAGTTGTAATGATAACAGTTGTAATGATAACAGTTGTAATGATAACAGTTGTAATGATAACAGTTGTAATGATAACAGTTGTAATGATAACAGTTGTAATGATAACAGTTGTAATGATAACAGTTGTAATGATAACAGTTGTAATGATAACAGTTGTAATGATAACAGTTGTAATGATAACAGTTGTAATGATAACAGTTGTAATGATAACAGTTGTAATGATAACAGTTGTAATGATAACAGTTGTAATGATAACAGTTGTAATGATAACAGTTGTAATGATAACAGTTGTAATGATAACAGTTGTAATGATAACAGTTGTAATGATAACAGTTGTAATGATAACAGTTGTAATGATAACAGTTGTAATGATAACAGTTGTAACGATAACAGTTGTAACGATAACAGTTGTAACGATAACAGTTGTAATGATAACAGTTGTAATGATAACAGTTGTAATGATAACAGTTGTAATGATAACAGTTGTAATGATAACAGTTGTAATGATAACAGTTGTAATGATAACAGTTGTAATGATAACAGTTGTTATGAATTTGAGTTTTATTTTAAAAATTATTAATGAATTACTTGTTTTTCAATTTCTCATAATATATTACAGTTTTAAATACTCAATATTGTCAGAAAAAAATTGACAACCTTAAATATACTTTTGACAAAACAAAATCATTGTAATACTTGCAGATTGTTACTAATGTGTTAGTATAGAAAAAATTAATTCCCTAACCTATCTGCATTTCCCTTAGTATTCGAATAGAAAGACGTATTATACTTTTACTCGTGTGCATAACTGCGAGTAAATGAATGTTGAAAATTTTAATGTATTCATTTATAATAAAATTAATTATATTATTTATATTATAACAAAAATTTCATTTTTTTAAAAAGTAGTTTAAGTAATTAGTAATATTGAAATTATTAATTGACCATGTGAAGTATCCCATGTAAAGAACAATTTAGAAAATCTTTGATCAAGTTAGAAGTTTACATAAACTTTAGTTCTATTAGATTCAATTTCAAAAAACAAAGACTATTAATTTATTTAAAAAATGTAAGACCTGGAGATGGTAAAATTTTTAAACCTTTGTAAAACATGGTATATTTTGACTACTTTTACTTCCTCTAAAGAAACCCAAAAAATATCTCAAAATATAAATTTTTTAGTTTTTTTACGAGGTTGTCCATGGTATAAATATTTTTTAAAATTATTTTTCAACAATAGAAAATGGAAATTAAAAATAATGTGTTTTTTTTATCTGAAAAGGACAATTTTAAAAAAATTTTCCATGAAATTCAGTTCTCCGTTAAAGTAGTTTTTTTAAAAAATGTATAGTTCGATAAGTGTGACGAGAACTTTTAAGTGTTCAAATTGATCATTTATTTCTGCAATACGCCTTTGACGTTATTGATTGTAATCTGTGTCAAGACCCAGTACATTTAGTTTCTCAAAAATTTATTAATATTATTTTTTAAACGCTCTCTGAATTTTAAAGGTTTTAGAGAATAATAATTATCTTAATGTCTGCATTACACTTGAAAAGAAAATAATTAATCTCTCTACTTAAAATTCCTTTTCCCACTTTTTGACCTATACATTTTTTCAAAAAATTACTTAAACCGAGAACTGAAACTTATTTAAAAAAAATGTTTAATTCTCCATTTAAGAAATATACATTTTTAATTTTTATTTTCAATTGTTAAAAAATAATTCAAAAAAAGTTTATAGCATTGAAAACCTTGTAAAAAAACCTACAAAATTCATATTTTAAGACATTTTTTTGATTTATTTTGAAGTAACTACAAGTTGTCAAAATATGCCATGTCTTACAAAGGTTTAAAACTTTTACCCTGTCCAGATCTTACATTTGTTTAAATAGATTAATAATCTTTGGTATTTAAATTTGTATTTAATAGGACTACTAAGGTTGTGTAAACTTTTAACCTGATCATAATTTTGACCTGGGTCGCTTTAAACTCATCATATATATTAAATTAGTATGAAAACACTTAATATTAATTGTCACTATATACTTGTCAATATCATTTGCGTAATTAATAATATTAATGTTATTAGCATTTACATTAACTTCAGATAAAACATTTAATGTTAGTTCTCACTTTTTCAACAATCAATATTATTTAAGCAATTAGCATTGTCACTTTGGTATAAGTATATGTCAATCAATATTATAGATTTTTGTATTAATTTTTATGTGAAACATTATTATATTATTGTTCAACATTCTTGCATAAAACAATAACTAGTTTTATTATAATACACCACATTATTTTCTTTTTTTAAAATTCAAAGTTTATTATTTATGTAATATTTGTAAAGACGAATCACCTGAAAAAGGTTTGTAACTGCAAACTATCAGCAAATAGCCGTTTGTGTAGTTCGGGTTAAGAAAGACAGGGTAATGATCTTACGATTGGAAAATACAAAGAAAGAATGAACTGTTCAACGAACATGATGAGCTAGTATATATTCGGCCCACATTCTCTGATGCTACGAGTAACCTAAATTACTCCCTCCAACCGAACCATCATCTTCAGGTGAACTCGGGTCTTCGATAAAACCCCACTTGCATTCGTGGAGCATTGTGCAGTAGTTTAAAGTGAAAGAAGATGTTTTCTTTATTTACTAAACATACAAGGTATATTCACAACTGTGATTTCTGTTTAATTTTTTGACAAACAATGAACATTTTATAGAAGGAGTATGTTAAGACACCCACCCCATGATAATGATTCTTTTATTAACATGGATGAATTCCTTTAAAACTTTTTTATTAATAGCACATATATATATATATATATATATATATATATTTACTTTGAAAAACTAATATTAAAGTCCCTTTAAACATTTTTCTACATACAAACCGATTTTATAAATGATAGATACATTATAATAGAATCGAATGACGAATATGTAGGTAGAAATAAATATCTAAAAATAATTTCTAAAGTATTCAGAGAATAATAATCTATAAAAAACATATCTACAAATTTAAAAACATTCCTTAAGTATAATATTACAGCAAATGTACTTTCAAATATTTCGAAAGCACTAAATTAATATAATGCATCAACTTTACGTGGTTTGATATCTGTGATCTTACTGAAAACACAGAAAACGCCAGAACTAAAAATTACTTTAATCAGATTTAATTGGAAGTGCAAAAAAAATGAGACAATTCTAACTGACATAGAACGTGGCGCTATCTTACTGACTCATTTTTGTTGCACTTCAGACACAGTGCAACAGCATTTTCAGTTCTGAGATCGCATAGGGTGATTCTTACAGGTGTTTTGACGCTGAACACGAATCTAACCTCAGAATTGCTCCCCAGTAAAAAAAGTTGCATAGCAGAAGCCTGGATTCCTTAAACCAACTCCTAAGCTGGTATACGGAATCTTGACTTTTCTGTATTACAGCCTTTACTGTAAAACGAAATTATAAGGAGGTTGTATACGGACAACTTTTGCATGACTTTTAATAATAAAATACCTGTTTTAAAATAAATTGATTTGTTTAATTTTAATATCAAATATTTTAAAAAACTAAATTATAAGGAAATGTCAATTCAAAGACAAAAGTGTTATTTTATTCACTAAAGTAGCTAAAAGAAACGCGCGTAGACGCGCATGATATCTATAATTTTTTTATGCAAAATTAAAAATTTATTTTTATTTGAAAGAAAGTTATTTGAATTTTGATCTCACAAAATTAATAATGTTATTTTTGAAATCGTTATTGTATTACTGTCTCAACATTATGGTGTTATAATATAATAGTTTAGTTAATTTGTAAATATAATCTGTGCATAGCTTCTGGTGGACATACATAACGTGTGTTTAAATAATGTTCAATTTCAGCCTATTGAATTTTCTGATTATCATCTTTATAACCTATTATTGCACAGTCAATATGACCTTTAAATTTTGTACTCAAATAAAGATTATATGCTACGATCATCGAATTGTCAGCAATACATTTAATTAGCCCATCTCAGGATCCATGCAGGGTGAATACCTATTTTGTTTACCGCAAGGCCCATGAACTTGAAATCACTTTACAATGTTAAAAAGTTCTGGATTCTTTATTTCGTCTGGGAATTCAGCGCATCTCCTTTTATTTAAAGTTTCTGCATCGCAAATTTGTGTACGAAAAAATATAATTAAACGCACATGTGTCAATCCACGCTTTTTCTTCTCTATGAAAGACGATACATATAAAATTGTAAAGAATAAAATTACAAGTACCTTGAGCATGCTTAAGGTTAACAGTCCATCCAGGACCACCATAAGGAAGCATTGAAGGATATGTCATGGGATAAACATTTTCACTAACAATAAGACTAGAAATTATTTTCTCATTATTTTCTGTTGTGTATTCTGAATTTTGATAATTTGTAAATTTTTGCAACAGTCATCAAAATCGATATTTTCATAAAATTAGAATTTTTGTTTTTACTTTAAAATTTACATAATCCGATAGAGATTTTATTCTAATAAATTAACAACTTCCCAGTCGAAAATCTTATGCTATATGAAGTTGAGTAAAAAGCCAATTGAAGCGTTAGGATAGTTGACAAACAAGTTAAATATCAGTAGAAATCTATCATGAAGCATATTAAGTCCGATTTTTCGCTTTCTAAAGGCTTCCACTATTTTTTGTCATTCGAGTAATTTGAGGTTTCGTTTTCCGTGCGGCTTCTCTAAAGACTTTCCGGACGCTCTAAGTAAGTTTTGGATTTTCAACTGAAATTCTTTGAAAAATATTCTTAAAAATGGCTATTTTTTCGTCCTTCTGGTACCAACTTTTTTTTAAATTCGTTAGCTTGTTCCAAATTGTGATTAGAAAAACTTCTCAATTGTCAGATGTACAATAAAAGAATAATATCCCCCACAGCAGCCAATCTTTACTAAAAATTTCGTAAAGATTTCCTTGAAATCTTGGGAATATTTAATTGAAAAGTTTAATGAAAATTGCATAAAGATTTAAATGTCCCACCAAAATAAATATTTGTCGTAAAAGTTGACTAAAAATTTAAATGAAATTTTCAGGAAATGTTCGTCGCGAAAATTGAGTAAAGATTTAAATGAAATTTTCAGGAAATGTTCGTCGCAAAAATTTAAATGAAATTTTCAGGAAATGTTGGACGGAAATATCTGTAAAATATACAAAAGTAATATTAATAATAATAATAATAATAATAATAATAGATAGATCTTTATTATTATTATCAATCAAAAAAATTTACTATCTGGGAATAAAAATAAAATAAATAATATACAAACATTGTTGCTCTGCTTTAATGCTTTGTTTCACATTCAATCAAGCACTGCATACTTGATTGAGCAACAACTTTTGAAAACAAATTTTGGGGTGCTGGGGATTAAACCTACGTTCGCCGCGTGCTAGCTAAAGACCCTAACCACTACACTACAGATATCTGGCAGAAAAAAAAAATCTTCCACAGACTCTACAACTTGCTGATAGACAATTAATCCTACTTATCGACCTAAAAGGGCGGGCTCATTTGAAAATGTTTTTCACGGAGATATTTGAATATTCTGAATATTCACATTGCAGGTGAATATAAAAATTAAAAGTGTATCGAAATAATGCTGTATAACCATGACTGAAGGTCATGTGAAAAGGTTATAATAAAATTAATTATTTTTTTAAAATATTATCTATTAATTAAAAATTCACAAATTTGCGAAAATTAGTTTAAAAATTTTTTATTTATTAATAAAGAATTATATTAGTATTGTTAAAGACAAGAAAAAACGTTTTAAAAATAATTAAGAAAATAATTTCAATATATTAAAATAAGAAATGAAAGTGAACACAAAAATTCTATTTTTTAAACATTTAAATCAAAATTATTATTCAAAAATTATTTATTATAATTAAAAATGTATTAATTAATGAAAAATTAATTTTTAAATATTTTATTTTTTGTAAAAGATTGTGGCCTTTACAAAATGGTTTTTAAAGTTGATATAAAATTTTTTAAAAATTAATATTTCGATTCGAAATAAAATTGACTAAATAGACAGAAAAAAATGCTTGTAATATATTTATTTGTGACAATTTGTAAAATTTAATTTTTTTCAAAATGTTGAATTACAATTCTTTAAAAATTCGTTTTTTTAAATTTTACTAAAATTAATTAAAAATTAATTATTTTTGAAAATTCAATTATTTTGAAAAACATTAAATTAAAATATTTTTTAAAATTTTGAAAAACTAACATTGGATTCGTAATCAGCAACCCGAAAACCCCGAGTAACAAGTTTTAAGCAAATTTCGTGGATTTTTTAAATTTTCGGTCGCCATATTGGATCCGCCATTTTGAATTTTCAAAAACTGACTTCAGATTCGTAATCATAGACCCCAAAAACCCCCGAGTAACAAGTTTCAAACGAATTCCCTACCGAAAGAGTGGTACTGGATTGGTACTGGGAAATTGGAACTGAGGGCTCAGTACCAACTCAGTACTAATTTGGTGCATTTTGGTACTGAAATGGAACTGCGAAATTTACCTGCGAAAAGGGTCGAGTTACCGTTAAAACCCACATAAAAGTGAAAAGCGACTACCTTTTACAATATGTTTAAACTAATACTTTATATTTATTTCAATATTATATTTGTTATTCCTGGATTTATATTATTTTCATACATTATTATGCATATGATATGTCCTTTGGCAGCTAAATTCAAAAATGATGTCCATTTTTTTGTCAAACTTAAGGTATACGAGATAAATCATAACTTTTTTAAATGTAATTATTTTTTGATAAATTTTAGATATTTATAATCTAGAAATATTAACGAATCTCAATATATATTTTTTAAAGTTGAGTTATTAAAATTATAAATTTTTTAAGCAATAAAACTCGGGTTAAAATTTTAATCCTTCAACAAAGGACCTAGGGGTCTATTGTTCAAGGAGGGATTGCAATATAATTTCCAAACTTAACAGAAATTTTCTACGAACTATTATGTTTTTTTTGCTGTTTTACACGTATATCATGAGAGACGGTTTGTTGATCTTATATACCTTTAAAACTATTGTTAAAGTACTTTAAAAATGTCTTCTTATGGGTTGTCAGGCAGTGGTACTGAAGTGGAACTCAAGCCAAGTCCAATTCAGTACCATTCCAGTACCACTCTTTCGGTAGGGTTGCATTAGATTTTCAAAAAGTCGTCCGCGATTTTGGATCCGCCATTTTGAATTTTTAAGAACTGATTTCAGATTCGTAATCAGCAACCCCAAAATCCCCCGAGTAACAATTTTCAAGCGAATTGCATTGAGTTTTGAAAATGTCGGCCGCCATATTGGATCTGCCGTTTTGAATTTTTAAAAACTGACTTCAGATTTGTAATCAGCGACCCCAAAAACCTCCGAGTACAAAATATCGGTTCCCTTTTTACCTTAATTTTCGGTAATGAATTTTTTTCCAAAATAA